GGGGGGGAAGGTATGGGCGGAAGTGGAGGGTCAGCTTGTGCAGGTGGGATGTGCTGGGGTTGGGATTCCATGTCCCCGGCGATGGGCGGGAATTGTGGAGGCTGATTTTGGCCGTTAGTTGGTTGTGCCCGAGGGAAGTGGGTGCTCGGGAGGGACACCATTATGGGAACTCCCTACATCGGCCGGCGAAAGGCGGATCACGGTCTCCATTTCCACCTGCGAGTATCCTTCCACCACAGTTTCCATTGTAGGTGCAGGGTGTCATCTACCTCTGCAATCTGCCTACCTGGATCTAGCCATGTGTGCTGGAAGGCGGTTAGCTGCTCGTTCCTTTGTGCCCGGTCCGTTAGGCTTTTTGGATGTTATGTGTTATTGTATCTACTATGTGTTGTCTTGCCTGGAGGTAACCAAAGGTATGTTATTTCCTTTCGTGGGAACACTGGGCGCACCAGGTTCTCATGAGCACCTCCAACCTAGTGTATTTGAAGAGGTTGAGGTGGAATGGTGACCACGTCGTCGGCATCTTCTTCACTAGTCCTAGCAGGAGCAGTGTGGGATCCCACGGGAGCTCGTCTGCGGTGAGGCAGTGCCAGGCTGCGCTGCACCACTGCCAAATCTGTTGGGCCATTGGGCAATAAAGCAAACAATGCTCTAGGTCTGCTATCTGCTGCTGGGAGGAAGAGCCACAGTGGGAGCAGATGGGTGAGAGTATCCCTTTCTGTTCCAATTGTGACCTTGACACTGCTCAGTCTGGTGTGGGTAGACACCTTGTTCCTTTCCTTAAAGTTCCCGCCCTCCTCCTGCTCCTTGGCATTCCTTTCATTGTTCTTGGGATTCATCTATCGGTATTTGCCTTGCTACCATTACTTTCTTTCCCTCCCGTCCCTCTTTGTACCCTCCAATCCTATATCATCCATCCTTCCTGTACCTTCCCTTACCTCCCTTCACCTTCCCTTAACATTATTTGCTTCCTTTACCTATTTTCGGCTAACATTCCTTTGTGTTCCTTTGCTCGTCTCCTATTTGTTTGCATTTCCTTTCTTCGTCATCCTTGCTTCACCTTGCACCTATAGCCTCCTTGACCCCGTCCTCCAACAAGTACAGAAATGTGCACATCAAAGCAAGGAGTTTCAAGTCTGGCAAGTGGCAGGAGCGTCTTCAAGGATTCCATGATCCCAAGGTCCCAGAGAGGAGTGTCAAGAAAGGGCTTTGGGTTTGAATTGTGTGAAAGCCATAGAAGTAGCTTGCTGAAGCTCAGTTGGTAGAGCACGAAAGCGGCATTCACGAGGTCGTGGGTTCTATTTCCCATGTCTTCCATTCGATCCCCACGGCCCCCTGCGGCAAGCTGCGGGTTCACCAGCTGAGATAGTCGGCTTGTTCCCCCTGGTTGGTCTTGGTAGGTGCTATTCCTTCGTCTCTTCCCTCACTGGCCGGGGGTTATCCCTACTCTAGTGGAATAAGGATCCCCCCCGCAGTGCTTAGGCATGGGTGGAGGTTGGTGCTAAGACAAATAACCTGGAATGCATAGGTAAGACATATACCCTAGCATAGATAGGTAGGTAGGCTTTTGATGTTAGGCTGGAGTACTTGGCACTTGCAGGGGAACCTCAATTCTACTCCTGTCTCTTATACACATCTAGATGTGTATAAGAGACAGGGGGTTATCCCTACTCTAGTGGAATAAGGATCCCCCCCGCAGTGCTTAGGCATGGGTGGAGGTTGGTGCTAAGACAAATAACCTGGAATGCATAGGTAAGACATATACCCTAGCATAGATAGGTAGGTAGGCTTTTGATGTTAGGCTGGAGTACTTGGCACTTGCAGGGGAACCTCAATTCTACTCTCTTTTGGAGAAAGTGCCAGAAAGTGGCAGAAAGTTCAGAAACCCTTTTTTTTTTTAAGCCAAAAAAAAACTAAGCTATATTCTTCCCTCGATTTCACCTTTCACCACCTACTTACCTTGTCCTAGCTACCCTCCCCATCTGGTTATATTGGGCAGGCAGCTACCTCAGGCGCAAGGTTATGGGTCTACCTCCCCGATCTATCCCAGCCTACCTATCCCCTCAGGGTTGAGCCTTCCCAGTTGAGCCTTCCCAGTTGAGCCTTCCCAGTTGAGACTATCCCCTCAGGGTTGAACCTAACCCCTGACAACGGACGGAACGGACAATGACCATCCCCCCCAACCAACCAGGAGGGGCAAGCCGACTACCTCAGTTGGTGAACCCGCAGCGCGCCTCAGAAGGCCGTGGGAATTCGAATGGAAGGTGCGGAGAATCAAACGCACAACCTCCTGAATGCAACTTTCGAGCTGTGCCAAGTGAGCTAGGCCGCCGGCCCTTTTCTTTTTTTGTTTTCGAAAGCTCAGATATGGGCTGTCTGCTTCCCTGATGTGACCCCAGAGTTTCAAACCTGCCGTTCGATCATTGAGACCCCATCTATTGGTGGGGTTTCCCACCTGCTGGCAAACAGCGCCAGCATCCATGTACAGAACGATTGCACTGAATGATAGCCTCTGTGGACAATGGACAGACTAGGGCATCTTTGCAGAAACCTGTAACCTCACCCCTTTCTTTTGTTGCTTCTCGGACCATTGTTCACAATGATGTTTTTTGCCATATGTCATTCCATTGTTCCATCTGTTTGCAATTGTCTGCTGTTTTGAAAGCCCCGTCTTTTGTTTTTGACTCTGCTTTGTTTGCTTCTAGTACCAGTAACGCATGATATAATTGACATTACAAAACTTGCACACCACAAGACAGATTGTGCAGTTGAAGCCGCATTGGCTGTACTTGTTATGCTTTGTGCCACTTGAGCAGTATATTACTAAAGAAATCAAGCAATGACATGAAGATATCAAGAAATGAGTAAAATGACCCAAATTCTCGGGAAAAGAAAAGAAACGAAAATCTAGACTGTCCTTTCGTCTCTCTTATGCGGATCCTGATGATGGCAGGGAGCATCAGCGTTGCAATCAAGGAGCAGGAGTTGGATGAGCTTGAGTTGAGAAATGGATTAGTCCTCCAGGTTCTGAAAGTTTACCTGAAGCTGTCTATGTACAGAGATGTTGCGACTCTTGAGAATATTCAGAATTCAAAGGGTAACAAGTCCAGTGTGGCTTGGGAAGGTTTCACTCCAGTGTGCAATGAGGTCAGTTTTTCCCTCTCTTTTGACAACAAACTTGTTTCATTCTATTGTGGGGAGCCAGCTGGAGGGCAGAGTTTCTAGTGCTTTTTTCTAGCGTGAGGCTACAGGCCTCGGTGAGCCTCAGAAAGGTCATCCATTAAAAATTAACCCGGTGCTAAGTGATGGCTGTGGCAGGAAATAGCAGAGCAGCTCTAAGTGAAGGCTGTGCCTGGCATATCTGCGCAGATCCTGGACCTTTCACTCCAGTGTGCAATGAGGTCAGTTTTTCCCTCTCTTTTGACAACAAACTTGTTTCATTCTATTGTGGGGAGCCAGCTGGAGGGCAGAGTTTCTAGTGCTTTTTTCTAGCGTGAGGCTACAGGCCTCGGTGAGCCTCAGAAAGGTCATCCATTAAAAATTAACCCGGTGCTAAGTGATGGCTGTGGCAGGAAATAGCAGAGCAGCTCTAAGTGAAGGCTGTGCCTGGCATATCTGCGCAGATCCTGGACCCCCGCCCCTGTAACTAAACTGGTAGGCCCAGCCTCCGAGTTACTTATGTGGGCTGAGACCCAGACTCTGGCAGCAGGGAGGCTGAGCAGAGCAGCACATTCAGGGCACTGGTTCAATGCGGCACCGCTGGTGGAGTGTGCCTTGCCAGATAGCACCCGGGAGAGCGAGTTCGGCCACTCAGTGCTGCACAAGCCAGTGGCTGCCATGGCTGGCAGCCCTGTATAGGGAGAAGGGTGGCACTTGGTTGGGGAGGTCAGGGAAGAGGGAACTGGCAGTGCTTGCCTGGTCATGGTGGTGGAGCACACAAGCTGTCAAACTCTTCAGCATCATGTGGTAAGAGGACCGTGTGTGTGTCGTGGAGAGAGAGAGAGAGAGAGAGAGAGAGAGTGTGTGTGTGTGTGTGTGTGTGTGTGTGTGTGTGTGTGTGTGTGTGTGTG